TCGGCTAGATAAGAGAACGTGGGGATTGCGCTTGTCAGGCAAATGAAGTGATAAAGTTTTATAGAGACGCGAGGCAGGCCCGTAAAACATAGTTTCCCGATTGCCATTAGATAGGAAGAGCTGTGATTTATAAACGGAATGCAGTACATGCTCATAAATTGCTTTGATATATGCCCGACTTAAAAACCTTCCCATGTTAATAGAGGGCAATAAATGCCAAATTTATCATTTATTTATTTTGTGATAATTGCTCTAAATTTAGTTTGTATTTTATTTTGGGCACTCTTTTAAGTTTAGCATTAATTTATTTTATTTTTAATTTATTTAGGCATATTTGCATTTTTGCATATTTGCGTATTTCGACTTACGATCAGATTAAAAAAGTTATTTATTTTATGTTCAAATCCTTTGAAATGCGCGCTTTTCACAGCATGTTCTGAAAATGTAATTTGCATACTGAAAATAAAATGTGTCCCACCAACCCACATAAAACTCATAAAGCAGCCCAATAAAAGCATGTTCATGTTGTAAAGACATTCGCATTGTCAGCCTCGGCGTATGCGTGATATTTTGAATATTGTTTATCTGTATGCTAAACATGTACATGTCACAGGATTTTCGTACATAATTCCATCCAAAAAAATAAAGAACATGACTTTCCAGCATGACAGCAACAACAACAAGACTATATTTTGCTGCTTTTTATTAATAATTAAAATGTTTTGTTTTCACGCACATTTTTTTGCTGCTGCTGCTGCTGCTGCTGCTCGCACTTCTCGTTTAATTAAATGCAAAAACAAAAAACATTTTGCGTTCGGATAACGAACCGCGTGCAAAACACATTTAACTTCTTAAAAATGCGTAATTAATTTAATAACAATCACTACAACAACAACAACGGCTGAAATGCTGCCTGGTAAACGCGGCGTATGCGCAATGCTCGATATAAAACGGTGACCCGCTTGCCCGCCATTTATAATTGAATGAAAATCCGAAATGAAAACTGATGAAAATATGATTGAAAAATGACGTCACAATTTAACAAACTGAACACTCAATTCACATACACACAAATGTATACACACACACATGTGTATATACTTACGATATTGATACTTGTTTGTGGGCACTATGCGATACTTAATGACATTAAATGGCCGCTTGCACTTTCGTCGGGCCTTTGCCTAACGTTCAATGTGAACCCACAATAAATATAATGTAATTGACATCATGAACGCAACCACAATACAACAACAACAACGACAACAATGGGAAACAGGTGGCTTTTTGGTTTAAGGTTGGTGTCGGCTATTTTTCAATTATATATATACCATATAGTTATAAGTACATAAGTGCTAAGGGTGAAATTTTAGGAGTTTATAAAAATAGCTTTCATTAAATATTTTTATTATGTTACCTGTTTGAGTCCTGTTTATCAAAATTAAAAAGAGAAAAACAGGCAAAAGTATGTTTAAATTAAATATTCAAGATTATTTTAAGTGTAATTGAAGCAAAACAAACAAATAAAGAAAACAACTTATATTATGTTGCCGTTAGGCTATTACAGCTGCGAATCGTTTTACGTCCCACTTGTTTATATGTTTATTACTTCTGTTGTTTATTTAGTTGTTAATTTAAGTTTAATATTAATTTACCTGAATTCTCAACGTCGCGACAACTGAACAACTGAGCAAGAACACCTACGTAAATATTTATGCAAATTGTTGCGCTTGTAACTGTGTGTGTGTGTGCTTGTGAGCGTGTATGTGTGTGTGTTCCTCCATGTAGTGTCTATGAGGCACACACTGAACTGCAGCGAACTGCACTCGACTCCCAACTCATACTCCAACTTCAACTATGAAATGTGTCAAGTACAGCAAACAGTTAAAAAATTTATGGGCAGGGGCAATACACACGACCAGGACCCGCCCTCCTCCTCCTGCTATCCATTGCCCCCTTCGCCTGGGTGTCAGCCTGCTCCGTTTGTAATTCAATTAAAATGCAAAGAGATTTTGCAAATGGAGCAGACCTGATGCCAAGAGAGAGAGAAAGAGAGAGAGCGACTCTGATGTCTGGCACGTCCACCTCCTACTGTCACTGGACGTTCAAGTGCTGTCAGTGTTTTGTATACCCTGTAGAGGTGTGAGATGTGCAATAAGACATGAGGAGGATTAGTTAGATGTATCTCAATTTAAACTTAAGCTCCAATATGCTACTGGAGATTAGCTATTCCAGGCTCTTATAAGTTCATCTTTATCAATAAAATGATAACTATTTGACTCTCTCATTTAGAGCTCTTTACAGGGTATCTAAGTGTACTTCATCCTCGAGTTCTGTACAGTTGTACTTCTCATTTGTAATTGTTGTTTTGCATTTGACAACCGATTTTTTTTTTTTTGATGGCCTCCATGATTTCTGCCCTGTTATCAGAGCAAATTATATTTCAGCCATGTTCTGCACAAAAATGTAAAGCTTCTCTTTATGGCTGTCATCTCGTATCAGCCCCCCCAAAAAATAAAATAACACAATTTACAATTAGCCCCACGGCCAAGAAAAGACAAAAATGTATTTTTGGACTGTTTTTGCGAGTCGGGGCAAAAATTGTTGTGGTTACGAAAGATCTTGTGATAAACTTGTGACATTCTGTTTATGCCTTAAATATGACTTTAGGATCCGCCCATAAATTTTAGCTAGGTGTTAATTTGAGTCAAATATAACTTGGTTAGACAAAAGCAGAGCTTTGTTGTGGTCTTCTCTTTTATTTCAGCTGTTTATTGATTACGTAATAAAATTACAAAATATTTGATCCGGTTCAGCAAATAAATTAACATATATTTATTAATCCATTAGAGTTCAGCTTGAGTATGCTGACCTCTCACAAGCCCTGCAAATGACCTTGACTCTGAACGCCGTTTTTTTGTGGCTCGATACAATTGTCAAAGCGCTTTTTTTAATGAAAGTTGCATAAAGCTAAATAATTGGCTTTAACAAAAGCGCAAAAGCGGAAAAAACAAGCCAAAGCTATTAAAGAGTGTAGGCTGTGAGGGGGCGGGGTCAAAGCACACACACAAAAAAGAGACAACAGAGCATTTACCGTTGGCACAATGGCAAATAATTGCTGTTATTTTGGCTTAGACAACAAAGCCCAACTAGCCCAGTGGCTGTCAAACTGTTTGCGGGCGTTTTAAATCGCGCCAAAGTCGTTCGAGTGTGTGTGTGCTGGTGTGAGTGTGTGTTTGTTTAGCTGCGAGCGTAAATTGAGCATCACAAGTTCAATTCACACACACACACACACACTGGCACATGTGTGTGCTGCTTTGAGCTGCCCTCCAACTAAATTTTTAATGGCACTTTTATTTTGTTTTACATTTATTTCACTTCTTTTTACTTTTTTTTGCACAAATTTTTTCCCATTTAAATTTGATGTTGGTTTCGGTTTGCTTTTCAATTTCCGACGCCAACGTTGTCAGGCGTGTTTACGGTTCTTGTTATTGTTGTTGTTTCTGTTCAACAACAATGAAGCATTTCCGGTTACCAGATGTGTGTGTGTGTGTGCGTGTGTATCTGTGTGTGCTAGTGTGCAAACATTCTGTGGATTATATGCATTGGCCTGCGTCAATTTGTTTTAAAATTTATATACACATACTCAAATATATATAAATGGTGCCAACAACTAATGAATGTTGCAGCGGGTCTATGCGATCTCTCTAGTAACGGATATATTAATAATAAATAAATGTTTTGATGTCCAACCAGCATTATGATGGACTAAATAGGCTTTTCAATGCTCCCATTAAAATTGTATTTGCGTGAATGATGACAAACGTACATGTTAAATGTAACTAGAGGATCAACAATGACCTAGATCATGAATATCATTTAACTTTGACAGAGTAGTAGGAGTTAAGCCTTAGCATAAGATGGGGTTTATTATAAATCCGCATTTCTCGACAGATGAGCTGTAAAGTGAGTCAGTCACCGCGCTTCGAGTCCCTGATTAGTGTCTGGTTGTAATAATACTTAATACTGCTATTACACCTATAATTACCAATACAATTAATAATATAATTATTATATTCCTTGAATTCTCTATAATTTTCATTAATCTCTATTTACGACATTCCTTCTACTTGCAGGTAAGAGACGTCAACGCTAATTCAAGTATTCGCAGCAAGTGTGAGTGTGTGTTCTAGCCTAATTGAGTGCGATTGTGAGTACATAGTCATGACGCGATCGAATCAGACTCGTGAATACTTTTGCCGTCTTCAGCCCACGCAGTGCAGAGTTGAGTGCCCGGTTTTATGGCACATTCAATGATTGGAACGGCACATTTCAGGCCTATCGCGTGTCCAGAAAGTGTCAAAAGGCGTGGGCCAGCCAAACACTCCAAGAACGCATACGGAGAATTGAGAACTGAGCAGAGACAGGCATACCGACAGACAGACAGACAGATTTCCAGACTGGAGTAGATCGTTCTGTACTGGGGCTCCATAACTGTTTACGTTCGGGTGGAAGACCCCCCACTAGTGCCCACTAGTACACGCAATAATTCTTAGCCCCATTTCCTTTGCTCTCTGCTGGTGCGCCCCTATCTCTCTCTCTCTCCCAACGCGAGCTATTTCAGTGCTGTGCCAAGGCACCAAATGACACCAAGCAAGTCCCCTTTGGGTGTTGCGAATTGAAGCCCCTTGTGCTCTGCTTGTTATTGTTAGCGTTGCAAATATGCTAGCAATTTAGTGGGCGTGGCGGGGCCCTAGTAGAAAACTTTGACGCCAGTAAACTGTCCGCCGGCGCTGGCGGGCAGCGGAAGGGGAATCGCTGCAGCGATATCTTTCGAGTTCATTGCTTGTAAAATTGACTTTAGCACAAGCGCATCCAGCAACAACGACAGCAACGACAACAACTTTCAGCCGGCAGCTAAACAAGCCAAAGATACTTAGCTACAATTTAGCTGAGATGCCTTTCCTTTTAGCCTCTTTTTTTCGATACCCTGTGTATACTTAAAATGTGTAAGAAAGGGTATATTGAAGTTAGGTTCTTTAATGAACATACATAAATACTTGATTGTTAGTATAAAAACATATATAAATGGCATCTTTAAGCAATGAAAGTCTCAAGACGATCGATTCATGAATTCAGATATAAGTAACGAATGCATTATTTCATAGTGTGTGGAGCTAAGGAAAAGAAGTTTAAAAAATAACGTGATACAGGGTGTCTGCTAGTCGAGCACTCTTCCTGGTTCTGCTTTTTTTGTGTGTGCGCATTTTGTGCTTACCTTTTGGCCTGACAGTCAAAGCATGGCCACAATTTGTGTGCTGCGTTTTTCTACTTTGTTGCGGCTGCATTTTCGCAATTTTTCTAGCTCATTTGCCCAGACGCCAAATGTCCTTCAGCACAGTCGCAGTTGTAGACGTGGTCTTAGTCCCAGTTGCCGTCTCCATAGCGCGGCTTTAGTTATCTTTGCCGCTGCTGCCATTTGGCAAATTAAAGTGCGCGCAAAGCCCAGAGCGCAAAACCCGTTTGGAAGCCAGGCGCAAGGCGCACGTGCAACATGGCACCGAGCAAGGGGCAACTGGCAACTTGCAACATGGCAACTGGCGGCAAGGCTGCATCACAAGCTCAGGCCAGGCCAATTTAGCAATGCATGAAAAACAATCCACAGATTTTTCTTCTTGTTTGGTCTTGGTGCTCATTTCATTTGTTGCCGCTTGGTGGCATAATTCGCGCGCCAGCCGACGCCCCAAAAAAACGCCCCGGACCAGCACAGAGGACACATTGACTACTCAAAGGCAGTGCGGTAGGGGGAGTTGCGGGGCCTCAGCTGTGCTGTCGATTTACGAGCTGTGATATTTTGTGCATGGCCTGCCAAATTGTATGTGTATTTGCTTTTTTCATTTTGCTTTTGTGGCAGCAGACCCCACACTTGGCCCCAAGCCAGCTGTGCGCCATCGATGGCCAGCTGATAGCCAAAGCCACTTAACTAATCTACAGAGCTGTTACGCAAGAAATTCCTGCAATGGGTTCTAAAAATCCTCCTGCTTACCAAGAATGCACCTTTTTACGCCTTTAAAGAAGAACAATAATTTTGCATAGAAATTTTTAACACATAGAAGAAGACATACGCTTCATGATCCATATTAATTTCCTAATGTGGGTTCTAAAAAAAACATCCTACTTACAAAGAAAATTACTTACCAATGCACCTTTTTACCTCTTCAAAAAAATGCTTTATATGTGATTGTTATATATATTGACAGTCGAGTAAATATGTCCTATGATCCTATGTCTCTCAGTTTCCAGTCTCTCCGCTTTAAGGAAATTTGGTAGTTTTGTGGAAGTTGCCCGATTTAGCCACTTATATCGATTTCCCATAAGAACTGTGGATCAAAATAATAGTTTGACATAGCTCTAGATAATATATATATATCTTTCATTTAAAAATTGAGTATGTTTTGTTTCACAAGACATCTTATTTGGTCATCATAAAAGGAGAATATCATATGTCACCCATAGGAAGAATCTCCTGTGGTACAAATATGTATCCCAAATAAGCTATATATATTCCAATATCTGTAGGGTATTCAACAATTCTTTTCAGTTGGTACTTCCCAAGCTTTTTATTGTCACTTGTTAATGGATTCGTTGCAGTTGCAGTTGCAATTATAGAATACGACCCACTCGCCTCTCCGTACCCAAAAGGGCACCTCAAATGGGCCATTTGCCATTTTCCACTCCCGTTTAAAGTGCTTCAATTGATGGTGGACAAAAAGAAAAAAAAGTTCTTGAAACTGCGATTCGCTGGAGATTGATTTAATGCGGAACCGGCACGGGAATGGGAATCGGAATGGGATTGAGAACGGGATTTCAGATTGGCCATGGACACTGGCGGGCGGACAAGCTGCTAGCTTCCTAGTTGAGCTGAGCTGAGCTGAGCACGTTCCATTGCCGTTGCCGTTGTCAAATATGGCTGCGGTCAGTTTTCTAACAGCATTGACCAGCAACAACACCAACAACAACCAGATGAAGAAAATGCTGGAAAAACTTTGGCTTGGCAGCTGCCTCCACTGTTGAGCGCGCATAAATTTCGCATCCCAAGTTGCTTTTACCTTTTGCGGCCACCCTTTTTACATTTACCGTTAAGTTCTGTGCTACAAATTTGCGCTACGCGAATTTGTTTCCACATTTTCTTTTCTTTTTCCTATTTTTTTCGGCAAGCAACCGCCTTCTCTATTGCGCATTTCTCTGCGATTCTCCAGTGAAGCAGGCCAAGTGGCGCTCGCCTCAGCGCAGAGATTCAAATTGAGGCGACTGCGTGAATTGGGACTCAACTAACCGAAAGACAGAAGGAAAAAAAGAAAGAGAACTCAGTAGCAGCTGGCAAAGGCAGCTACCAGCTCGTTTAGGCTACGTTAGCCTGCCACTGACTTGTCTTAAATTGCAGGCGTACAATAAAAAGGCAACGCCAGCCAGGTGGCTTTTATCAGCAGCGGCAACACCAGCCCATACCAGACCCCACATGCCACATGCCACATGCCTTATACCCTGCGCACAAAAAAAAAAGTAATGAGTTTGTTGCATTTAGGCAAGTATATGGAACAGACTCCGTTGATTTAGACAGTTATAAGAATCAAAAGCCTGAAATATAGAGTGAATATTCTCTCCTTTTGATAAAGCCTACCAATAGCTTAAGATCGATAAATATCGATTTCCAGCCTTGAATTGATTTTTTAATATACACGCATGTTATCTGTTGCACAAACTTCAAGCTGGATACAGGGTATTTGCTAGTCTCGACTGGAGCCCGCTTGTTTTTTTCCCCATTCCGTTTTTCCATTTTCACGAATTTGATTGTATTTACGAGTGTTTTTGTTTTTCACACCTGAAACTGCAGAGTTGAGTGTTCCATATTTTCGCATTGTTCGGCGCCGCCTCGAGTCGACTCCATTCCGATGACTGCCCCTTGCACCCTTCCATTCACTGGCGGCTCCCCAGGCGCTTTAACAACTCGGGTAATTGCCGTTGAGTGCGACACACGTGACGTATACGCAATCTTGAGTTCGTTTTTTTTTTTATAATAGCTGTTGGCAATGCGTGTTCGTCTATAATCTCATAATAAGCGACAGTCGATGGCCAAGTTGATGGACTGCGTGAGTGTTGCAAGTGGAACTGGTTGCCACTCGACACCTCGAGGGAGGTCGCTGTCGAGTGGATTGGAGGTGGGACTGGGAAACGACTTAAGGGCAACTTAGCGCTTGTCGGTGCTCGGTTTGATTTCTCATCGATGGCAATTGCAGGCACTTAATTGCTGCCTGCTGGTGACACGTTGGTGCAGTCGCTTTCTGTTGCACCTCGCCCGCTGCCACAGTTGATCGAGCTGCCTGTTGCTGCCTCCGCTCGCTCGTAGCTTCCCGGGGCGCTTTTTATGAGCAGCGAGTTGGCTATTTGGGTCAGCGCCTGCAGCGTGCAGCGTGAAGCGCGTTGAAGTGCAACCAGACGGAAGTTTCGTTTGTTTACAGCCAGTTTGTATGTGGCATCTACAAGGCGAAAGGCTGGCAATGCCAGCGGCTAACGAACTTCAGTCTGTTTGTGCCTCATTGGTCAGCACTGCCAGCTAAACGGGTCATTGGGGAATGCGCTTTTGTGGCGAGTCTAATCAGACTAAATCTCAAGTTGATCACACACAGTAACATTTACTGCATCAACTGAATCAAATTGAATGATTGACCCAGCAAATAGCTGCAATCGATGATGCTAGAATCAATCGCATACAAAAGGGCAAAAATGGATTAGAAAGATTTCAATCAGTCAATGTCCACAATAAGTTTGAAATATATAGTTTAAAGCTCGGGAGTTTCCATTTCGGGAGTTTAATTTATTTAGTTCAGCTCTTAAGCCTCTTGTCTTTCTGCCTGCATTCCTTCAGGTTTTCAGGTTTTCATTTCCGCATTTCTGGAGTCTAATCAAAAACATTTTGTTTCATACAAAAATAAAAATAGAAGAGAAATGTTTAATTTTCTGCTTGCGCGGCTGCTGGAGGGTGGTTAGTTTTCCAGTTGGGGGCGTACGTAACAGAAAGTGAGAGAGAGAGAGAGAAAGAGAGAGAAGTCGGTAAATGGTTTTTCACGGTTGGCCATAATTAATTTAATGTCTAATGCTCGCTTGTGCATGGCGAGCAATTGGAAAAGTTTGCTAAAGAAATCATCGTCGCGTTGACAACAAGGTGGCTGCTGCTGTGGGAGAACAGCAGAGAGGGGAATAGCCAGCGGGGCGGGTCAGTTTGGCAGTTGAAGTGGCCAGGCACACGGCTGACATAAATAGCAAAACGCAGAACGTTGGACGTTAGAAAGCCAAGTGGTCAGAACCAATGTGGCCAAGTGGCAATAGGAATTGGCCAATCGTTGCGACTGTTGCAGTTGCACGTTTGGCATCAAATCGATTAGCGCGAGTCATGAGCAGTTGGACATGCTGAGCGTGCTTTGACTTTCGGCTGATGTTCTTCAAATACCCTGTACACATTGAAAACGGCTGCAGCACATGTTAGTGGATCTAGCGACATCCATGTGTTTGCCTCTATAAATGCATCCATCTCAGAGACTAAATTTAAAGTACTTTTTTTTTGTATGTCATACGCAGCCCTAAACTATAGTTAATTTCGATGTCCTCCATTTGGTAAATATCTTGTTCCACCTAGGTTTTTTGATTCCCTCACATAATGCAAGCTGGAGAGAGCAAAATTTGCTAGTTATATTATCATGTAGACTATACAGAACTAGAATATATGACTTTTTGAACAAATCCAGGGTAAGTCCTAGTCGGTCACTTGCCTTCCTGTTGTTGCTTTTGCTGTTGCGTCGTGTGTGTCGTTTCATTGTTCCACATTGACCGTTGGCCAATGACTTTGACATAGAAACAGGCCACAGAGCCGACTGGGAAAGTCGCAGCGGCCTTTCACTGGGCAGCAGCGAGTAGCAGCAGGCTAAAGGTATTTCCAGCCGCACCGCAGCACGCTCCAAGCCCACCTCACTCTCCCCTGCCTCACCCCTAGCTTAAGCACATGCCATTGCACCCGTAACTTTGGGGAGGGCCCAGCCCTTGCAGCTTGTGACCATCCCTTGAGTTGCTGGCGGCGTTTTGCTTCTGTTTTTTTTTTCTACCTTGCTTTTACGTCTTTACGCCTTTTATTTATTTTCTGTTTGTTTGCTAGAAATGCGTCCCACCCTATCCCCTACCCCCAAGGCGCAGCTCCTCTCTGTCGCTGTGTTATGAATATGAAAAATGCTGAAAGCATTTCAACGGTACTTTAACCCCACGACAACAACGACGCATATCTTGATATTCATTCACATCCCTTTGCCACTCCCCTGCCCTGTCCTCAGACCATGGCTTTAGCCGAATGGGCAGCTTTTGTCGCCTGTTGTAGTCTCTTCGTTGTTGTTGCTGTTGCTGTTATTATTATTGTTGTTGTTGTTGTTGTTGTTGTTGCTGTTGTTGCTGTTGTACTATTATATTGTTATCGTCGCAGGCCTAGACAAATTTGTAACGTACTTTCCGGCGCTCACATACCGGTTCCAGTTTCAGTTCCAGTTCCAGCTTCTGTTCCCCTTTGCAGATTGCCGGAGTCAACAATCATAACCGTTATACATGTGTGTTTTTGTTTTATGTGTAAATTTGTTGTTGTTGTTGTTCTTGTTGTTGTTGCAGCAGCATTCCTTGTGTGTCTGTGTAAATATTGATTTTATTTTTTCTGCTTTCGGTATGCTTAATGTGAGAAAGCAGGCTAGAAATTTGTTTAGGTGAGCCGCATTAGTTTAACCTTTGAAGCTAAAATACATATTGTTGGAATATCAACGAAGGGAAAATCCCAGTGAA